GGGACCTGGCCTGCAACCCAGGCATGTGCTGTGCCTGGGAATTGAACCAGTGACCCTTTGGTTCACAGGCTGGCATTCGATCCACTGAGCCACACCAGCCAGGGCTGTATCATTCTCTTGATGGTATCTTTTACTGAGCAGAAATTTAACGTATCAATTAAATCTAGCTTATCAATTCTTTCTTTCATAAATGATGTCTTTGGTGTTGTATCTAACAAGTCACCACCAAACACAAGGTCTCCTAGATTTTCTCCTATGCTATCTTCTTGGAGTTTTATGGTTTTGCATCTGTGATCCATTTAGGCCTGATCCATTTAAGTCACTTTTGTGAAGGGTGTAAGGCTTGTGTCTAGAATCTAGATTAATCTTTTTGTGTGTGGACATCCAGTTGTTCCAGCACCACTTGTTTCAAAGACTGTTATTGTCTATTATATTGCCTATCCTGTCTTTTCAAAGATCAGTTGAGTATATTTCTGTGGGCTATCCATTCTGTTCTGTTGATCTGTTTGTCTATTCTTTTGCCAATACCACATTGTTTTGATGACTGTGTCTTTATAATAAGTCTTGAAGTCAGATAGTGTCAGTCCTCCAACTTTGTTTTTCTCTTTCAATATTGTGTTGGCTGTTCTGGCTCTTTTAGCTCTCTATATGAGATCAGTTTGGAAAAAGCCCAGCCATTGTTAATATAATGAGAATGGTTTGCACGTGGCATTGATGTAACCTGGCAGCCAAGGAGAGTGGACTGGAATGCACAGGCATGAACAATGACAACTTCACTGGACTGGTCAGTGGGAGTAGTAGATGCTATTGAGTGAGCGTGTGTACGATGTGGCCATTGCATTCAAAATGACTGAGCAAGTAGAGCAATGAATCTGCATCAAATTTTGTATTAAGCTTGAACATTCCTCCACTGAAACTATTCAGATAATTCACAAGGCCACAGCTATGGGCAACTGGTGATTGGAAGCTGCATTATGACAACACACCCTCTTATGCATCATGTCTTGTGCAGTTTTTTGGTGAAACATCAAATCACCCAGGTAACTCAGCCTCCCTACAACCCAGGTTTAGCACCCTGTGACTTCTGACTTTTCCCAAAACTAAAATCACCTTTGAAAGGGAAGAGATTTCAGATCATCAATGAGATTCAGGAAAATATGACAGGGCAGCTGATGGTGTTTGGGAGAACTGTGTGAGGTCTCAAGGTGCTTACTTTGAAGGGGACTAAGGTGTCATTGTCCTATGTACAATGTTTCTTTTTTCTTAAGATTTTATTTGTTTATTTTTAGACAGAGGGGAAGAGAGGGAGAGAAACATCTATGTTTGGTTGCCTAACATGCCCCTGACTGGGGACCTGGCCTGAAACCCAGGCATGTGCCCTGACTGGGAATCGAACCAGCAACCCTTTGGTTCACAGGCCGGTGCTCAATCCACTGAGCCACACCAGCCAGGGCTGTGCAATGTTTCTTGTATCTTCTTCAGTAAATGTCTCTATTTTCCATATTACATGGCTAGATACCTTCTGTACAGACCTTTTATAAACTGTAGAATCAGTTTGTCAATATCTACAAAATAATTGAATGGGATTTTGATTGAGATTGCACTGAATCTATAAATGAAGTTGGGAATAACTGACATGACAAGATTGATCTTATTCATGAACATGAAATATCTCTCCATTTATTTAGTTCTTCTTGTTTTGTTCACCAGAGTTTTGTAGTTTTTGCTACATACATCTTGTACATATTTTGTTAGATTTATTTCTAAGTATTATTTCTAAATATGGATGCTTAAGTAAGTCATATTGTTTTGTTTCAAAGATTTTATTCATTTATTTTTAGAGAGAAGGGAAGAGAGGGAGAAAGAGAGGGACAGAAACATAGGTTGGTTGCTTCTCATACACACCCCAACCAGGCACCAAACCTGCAACCCAAGCATGTGCCGCAACCAGGGATCAAACCCACAAACTTTCACTTTGCAAGACAATGCCCAACCAACTGAGCCACATGGGTCAGGGCTTCTTTTGTTTTTTATTTCAAATTCCACTTGTTTGTTGTTAGTATGTGGGAAGGCAATCGACTTTTATATATTAACCTTGTATCCTACAACCTTGTTCTAATCACTTATTAGTTCCAGGACATTTTCTGTCAATTCTTTTGGATTTTCTACATAGAAAAATATGTCACCTGTGAGCAAAGATAATTTTATTTCTTCCTTCCTAGTCTGTATATTTTTATGTCATTTCCTTATCCTATTGCTTTAGTTGGCGCTTCCAGTATGATGTTGCAGGGGAGTCGGGAGGGAGACATCCTCACCTTGTATCTGGTTAGTGGGGAATCTTTCAGTTTCTTACCACTAAGTATGATTAGGGTTTTTTTTATAGATCAAGTGAGAAGGTTCTAGTAAATTTTTCAGTTATTATACTGTTCAACTCTAGAATTTCTATTTGACTAAAAAGTAATTTATATCTCTATTGATATTCTCTTTTTGCTCAGACATCATTTTTATATTTTCCTTGAATCCTTTAGACATAGTTTCCTCAAACTCTTCTTTTCTTATAACAGCTGATTTAAAAGCTTTGTCTAATAATTTCCACATCTGAGTTTCTCAGACAGTTTCTATCAATTGCTTTTTTCCTCCTGTATGTGTGCCACACCCTTGTTTATTTGCATGTCTCATTATGTTGAGGGTGAGTGGTAAAAACTGATCATTTTAAATGACATAATATGGCATCTCTGGAAATTAGATACTCTCAGGGCTCCTTTTTGTTACTTTCTTTTTTTTTAATTTTTTTTTTTAGTTGTTGCTCAAGTACAGTTTCCTGCCCTTTACCCCCCATCCCAGCCCACCCCCCAGCCCTCCCCTCCTCCATTTTTTTGTTGCTTTCAAGGACTAATTCTGTAAAGCATGTTTTCTTTGTCACATGTGGTCACTGACATTTTTGCCCAGCTGATGAGTGGACAGAGATTTCCTTAAATGTTTTCTAGTCTTTGCCAAGAGACTTGTATGTTGTTCATTCAGGCAAGCCTTCAAAGCTCCGGTGGTTTATTCTACCTTATCCCTCATTCCCTGCTTCAGCCAAGCCTCAAGTTTACTAGAATTAAGAGAAGGAGGCCATTTCATGTTTTTCCTGGATTTACATACAGTTCTCAAATGCATGTGGATTTCTCGAGCCCCAAGTAAATGGTAGAGCTTTTCAAAGCCCTCTCTCTAAATCTCATTCCCAATATTCTTTTTAAGTTTTTTGGCCAGCCTTTTTTTTTGGTCTCAATTGGTTTTCTTGGCTTAGGAAGCTGGGATGTCAAACAGTTCGTTTGCTGCTGATTGTTTAGGCAAATACCTAAGGATGGGGTTTCTCCCTGTGTAAGCTCTGAGTCAGGTCAAATAAGACTAGCCCTGTAAGTGGGGCTCTTATCAGAAGCTGCCACATAAATCACATGTGTAGTGACATTTCTGTAGGGATAGAGCTTTTGAGGAATTCCGTACCCACTCTGTCCCCTCTAGTGGCTACTAGGCTGTTGTTTTTCACAGCTACTATAGTTGAGAGACAGCTGGTTTTGAAGGCTACCGTGGAGTTGGGGAGAACAGGATGGAGGGGATAAACAAGTCAAAATGCCAAGAGCTTGCTGCTGCCTACTGAGATTCAACCATTTTTCTTGAATAAATCCTCCTTTGGTTTTTGAAAATTTGGGTGAATTTGCAGAGTTCTGGAAAGGTTGAGTTTGACATTTGGCCAGTGTTCTTGCTTTAATGGAGGTGTGGATTTTCAGATGTCCTTCCTCAGCCATTCCAGAAGTGCTTCTTCAGATCACTTTCATTTTAAGAAGCATAAAACTTTAAATAATATTGACCACTCCTACCAAAAAAAAAATCTTTGAGTATACATTCTACACTTCCATAAAGAAATAAAAGTTATTTTTGTTTCCTGTCTGTTTCCCCCTACAGCACTGTTAAGGTTCTTACCCAGCCTGAATGTGAACTTTCACTTCTCAGAAAACATGTTAATTTGTTCGATTGTGTGCTGGCTCACATCATGCCCTTAGGTCATGATATTCAACAGTAGGTTATTAACTTCTAGGGAAGTCAATATTCCAAATGGCAAGGTTATAAAATACAGCTTTTTAAAAATTAATATCAGCCAAAACTAACGTTATTTCCTGACAACACTTTTGTTAGTTCCTCTTCTCTAAATTAGGCCCTAAATTCAGAATAAGAAAACTATCAAGATGTATTTTACACCAGAATCATCCATGTCTGGGCAGTTCCTAGACAGCTGCTACAATATAACAAAAATTTGCTTCCTAACAGCATGGCACTCATAGGTAAAGAAGTATTCAAGGAGGGATGCTAAAAATAATTAGGTAAAATTGGTATGCTCCACGTTTCTAAAAATAGCTTATCAGTGTTGCCCTGTTCATCGTGCCCACAGTAAAGGAAGATGAAAGCAAAGAGAGGGGCTCATTCCCTCAAGGTGAGTTCTATACAAGGTAAAGGGCTCTGACTGAATGGGCTGTTACTTTGGACACTCTGATTGGGTAAAAGCATACTCATGTTCACGGGCAAGGGCATGCATGATGACTGTCAACAAGCTTATTCCCAGCATGATTTTATGCCTTTGTTTAGAATCACCACTTACTACTGATACTAATTTTGGTCTACATCTTACTAAATAACTGTAAGGCCCTCAAGATTTCTGAATACATGCACTGTCCTTATCACCCACAGAGCTCCAGCAAATAGAGGAGACAAATGAAATTACCAAAAGTAAGCTGGGTAAAGTGGTTGAGAAGCCTTACTCTCCTTGTCCACCTTTTCTTTCCCAGGTTCTAAAAACATGTTCTTTCAAAAGCCACCATCAGCTGAGACCTCGTGAACCTTCTCACCAGGAGGGTCATGCTCTGCTCCTCTCTCTCTCATTCTGCTCTTGCAAATGATTTGATTGATCAGATCATCGGGTACTGTTCACAGGTGGTTTCTGTTCTCTCCTTTGGTTTTCCTAGAGATCCCACCATAACTGACTGACAGGAAAATAGGCTCATGGATTGACATTATCACCATAAACCAGCACTTGGATAATTCAGCCTATCACAGGCCCTGGTACTTGTCCAAAAAAATTCAACCCCAAAGTAAAGATTTCTATGGAGGAAAATGCTAATGCACAAACAGGTAAGAAGAAATCATTTTTAAAGAAATAGTGAAGTTGACAAACAAGGATATGATTGTGCTTATTGTGTTGGTATTTTTAGTAATGTGCTTCATGTTCTTTTTTAAATTAGTCATATGATGCCATCCTTTTTCTTTTCCCTGGCTCTGATCGCTAACCCTCAATTTAGCTGACCACACTTACACCAACTGGAATAAACACTCTCTAAAAAAAATTCTTGGTCAGTGGGTTACTCTTTTAAGTGTCTCAACTGATATTGTTTCCATCTACACCAAGAACAGACTCCCTACTTGATTGCTGTGTTGTTACAACGAATGTCTCAAAGTATATGATGAAACAGAAATTGTCTCAGATGATAGACTGGATAGAGCCAGATGCTAAATTCCTTAGAATACATCCCTCATGGGCACACCCCGTGGCAACCAGAATCAAATAAGATTCCCTATATGCTATCGATGCAAAGGAGAATATCCTACAGGCAATCACTCATTTATTCATTCACTTACTTTACATATCATAAAATGTATTCATTTAAAGTTTACATTGATTTTGCCAAATGGTACAACCTCACTGTAATGACTTAGAATATTTTCATTCCATCTCATACACACTTGGAATTAATCCCTGTTCCCAAATCCAGGCTTTGGCATCCACTAATCTGCTTTCTGTCTCTGTAAATTTGCCTTTTCTGGACTTTTTATACAAACTGACTTTCACGTGGCATGTCTTTAAAATTCATCCATAACATAGCGTGTATCAGTAGTGCATTACCTTTTGCTGCTGAATGGTATTCCATGGTGTAGAGACCACACATTTCATCTGTCTGTACATCAGTTGATGGATGTTTCCATTACTCCCAGTTTAGAGCTTTTATGAATATGCTGCTATGAACACTCATGTGCACACCTCTGTGTGATATCTGTTCTCATTTCCTTGCATTGCTGGGTCATAAGACTTTGACATTCAACTTTGGAGACACTGACACTATTTTCTGAAGGGCAGTACCATTTACATTCCCATCAGCAATGTAGGAGGGTCCCAATTTTTCCACCTCTGTGACATTTATTATTGGCTCTCTTATTTATCAGTCATTCTGGTGGGTATGAAATGGCATATTATTGTGGTTTTAATTTGTATTTCCCTAATGATTAATGATGTTGAGCATCTTTTCATGTATTTGTTAGCCACTCATGCACTTTCTTTGATGAAATGCCCATTTACTTCTTTCGCCCATTATTTGATTGGGTTATTGGTTTTCTTATTATTGAGTTGTAAGCATTCTTTGCATAGTATGGCTACAAATCCTTTATCAGACTTGTGGTTGGCAAGTATTTCATCCAGTCTGTTACTTGTCTTTTAAATTACTTACAGGTGTCTTCTGAGATAAAAAATGTCTGATTTATCAGTTTTTTTCAGTGCTTTTGGTCCAAAAATGTAGTAAAAGATGGTAGAAACTTCAGTCTAAGAAAGATTTGCCTACCACAGGATCTGGAAAATATTTTCCTGTAAATATTTTTATAGAAAATTCTAAAATTTTTATTGTTTTAGCTGTTACATTTACGTCTATGATCCGTTTTGAGTTGAGTTTGTGTGTGACGTGAGATGAAGGTCTATGTGCATCTTCTTTCACGTGGGCAATCAATTGTCCCCGTTCATCGTCGGGCAGACAGTCCTTTCCCCCAGTGAGTTGCCTTAGCAACTTTGTCAAAAATCAATTAAATATAAATACAAGGACTTATTTCTGGCTCTGATTCCGTTCCATTATTCTATGTATTTCCCTTATGCCAGGGCTACTGCTCTGGACCTTGATATGAAAAATTAATACTTTCTGTAAGCTAATGACTTCTAAGAACTTGAGGATGGCAGCTACAGAAGAGGGTTCCGAGAAGTATTTTCTATACATGGGTCACAAACAGCAAACTAGGCTTTTGTTATGTTGGACTGAGATAATTATAATCTTAAATTTCACTAATTCTATACATCTGTAAACAAGTCATACCTGTAAATAGTGCCACTGGTTCTATAGAGAATATGACACATCAGTGGGCCTTGTTCACAAGACTGTTTAGGGTGGTAGCCAGTGAATTTCTCCACTTTTCATGTTGTTAGAGTTGGTCCTCCTTATTACCATGACCAAACAGAAAAAATAAATGTTTTAATCCTCACCCAAGGATATGCTTAGTGATTTGAGAGAGAGAGAGAGAGAGAGAGAGGAATGGGGGCAGGGAGAGAGGGAGAAACATCGGTATGACATAGAAACACCCATCCATTGCCTCCCACACACGCCCTGACCAGGATTGAGCCTGCAAACTTGTGGTGTACAGGGAAACGTTTTCATCAATGGAGCCACCCGGCCAGAGCAAAAAAAAAAAATGTAAATATGACCATGCCAGAAATACACTGACCACAGCAAAAGAGTCTTTGTAGTAGTCATCAGTTCTGTTAACAAATATTCTTATGTGTGTGTGTGTGTGTATGTGTGTGTGTGTGTGTGTATCTGGATTATAAAATGTTGACAAATATTCTGACTCCCCTCTCCTTCCAGCCACCTGTAGACTTACATTTCCCTGGCCTTCTTGAAGTTAGTCATGATCATAACAGGAACTGGCCAACAATATAAGTGATGGGTGGGAGTTTTAAGAGCCCGTATGGAATTCATTCACCAGGTTCCTTCTCCCTGCCTGTGGAAGTGTGTGATGAGATGGAGCCCCCGCCACCCTGGTTCGCTGAGTGCCAAGCAGAGGCCCCCTGACAACCCACTTTAATCACTGTAGCTTGAGCAAGAAATACCTGATAGTTGTGTTAAGCCACTGAGATTTCAGACGGTACTGTAACATAACGCCATTTAGTACAACTGCTACAAACTGTACTTAATGTGAGATCACTGCCTAAAAATCTGTCACATCCCTGGTCTGGAAGCTGTTCTAGGAGTCTAGGTTTGGGATCCAGTCCTAGCTCTGCCAGAACAGCTCAGGCCCAGCTCCTCTGCCCACGTGTGGGTCCAGTATCCCTTCAAGATGCACGCATTTACCCTCCACACTGGGGAAAGAGCTTGTTCTCAAGAGCCAGATTGCCTGGAGTGCAATCCCAGCTCTATGCAGAGGATAATGCTTTGGCCATGCTCCTGAATGTATGTGCCGGTCTTCACATACGTAAAATACAGACAACAGTGTCTACACCCTGTGGGAATAAGTCCAAAGCATTTAGGACACTGCCTGGCAGGTAGTGCTTTGAGGGCACTAGCTAGAGTGGGGCAGGGCTCTTGTTGGACCCTTCACTTCTTTCCAGGCAGCCATCCAGAACGTGCTGGGCACTGCCATTCCTCTCCCTTCTCCTGGACAGCTGAGCACAGGGCAGAATAGTCATTCCCAGGAGGCTTGCCTCCAATTCCAATGATAAAGCCCTGGGTCTAACTCTAGATCAGAGCTGAAGCGAAAAATGAAGCTGAAAGCTATAAATATGTCCTCAGTTAGAAGAATAATTCAGTATCTGAAAAATTCATAGCAAGTATCAGAGCTGGGAACTGACCAGGTCTCACTGGCCTCAGTCAATGGACAGTAGGACGCAACAGTCACATTCCCATTCACACCCAAACAGTTTGCAAGACACATGCGGGATAGCTGGTTTATTCAAGCTGTGGACAGTTTCCAGCATGGGAGCTGAGCTGTGGGGCTGAACTGGGCAGGGGTGTCCAGGTATCAGAAAGTAAAAGGATCTCAGCTGAGCACTAGGAACAACATTAGGGCCAGGCCACACAGGCCAGGCCAGACCCTATGGAGCCCAGCTCCATTCATGGCCTCAGCATAGAACCTTGCCACCTCCTCATTGGGGTTGCCCTGGGCCGGGTCGAACCACATCTGGATGCAGCGGCCACTCCCTCGGCTGTAGTTGCTGACTTTGTAGGAGTGACTCCAGATTTCATTGCACAGAGCAGCAGGCGTGGGGAAGTAGAAATGAAAGGGGTGGCAGGCGTCCTTCACCGGGCACTCATTAAGCCCTGTTGAGGATGGAAGGCCTTTAGCACTGGGCTCAGAACCATGTCTTCTGCTGGCCTTACAACTACCCCTCATACACCTGTTCACCCCCACCCTCCACCTTCCCATTCCTCCCTCCCCACACGCCCAGGCCCTCACCAGAGGTCCAGTTCCAGCCCTTGTGCCAGTTGGCCTTGCAGGTGTAGGAGGTGCGGCAGTCTCTCCACCAGCTCTCACAGTCCTCTTTGCACAGGGGCACGTTCAGGATGCGCTCTTTGCGCCAGCTCTGGTTCACCTGGGACATGTGTGGAGGGGAAAAGGCCTCAGACTCAGGATTCTCAGTGCACAGCCCTAAATAGTCCCAGAGGTGGAGAGGCAGAGTGAGGAGATGTCTGGGGAGCAGCTGTGGGGAGGGCACCACACCTGCTGGATCCAGGGCCCCAGGTTGGGGGAGCACTCATACAGGCAGGTGTCCTGGATGAAGTGGCGCTTGCAGATGGGTTCCAAGGGTCCGCAGTGGTCCCAGTTGAATCTGTACAGGTAGGACACATCCTTGTGGGCTTCCTGGCTGGTGTTGACAGAACAGCAGGCGTTCTTCTTCCAGGGACTGCACTGCGTGGGGAAGACACAGGACTAAGTTCCAGGCCCAGCACAGAATACAGTCATACCTCAGTACTCGTTGGCTTCAGAACTCTTCAAACCCTGTACTCATCACACTTTGATGAGAAAAAAATGCTTCAACACTCAGCAATTGCTCATACTTGGTAGAACATGTATGAGTCATGATTCCACCCCGCAAGGGAAACTGCTTCATTGTTAGGTACCAGTAGGTTTTGGTGATTGTCACAGAATTTCAGAACAAATTAACAAGTACAGAGGTACAACTGTATCTGCAAGGCACCTTCTCCTCTTGGAGTCCTTAGTCCCCCAGTGCAGTCTTTCAGGGAAATACTGAAAATGCTGTTAGGGGGCCCTCTTTTGGGGAGACTCAGTCATTACAAAATTGATTAATTCAAATCTTT